CTTCAGGCAGTCTTCAGCTACAACTCCGGAACTGTCTAGACTTCTACCCTACAGGTCTACAGTTCGATTCCAGTCTATCCTGTGCCCTACGACAATCTACCTACCACTGGCGGTTCTACAGGTCGCAGGTTCAACTCTTCGAGTTGACGTAGATATTATACACAGGTAAGTTGGGGAACTAGGGATCAAGCCCTGGGATCTGCCTCAGCTACCACGAATTGGTGAATACCGTTTCAATCTGCTGTGTATAGATATGTATCTTGGACTTCTTTGATCTCATTGCAGACAAGAAAGTTTTGACATCCTGGTTGGTCTTGTCCTGTCGTTTGGCCTGTGTAGGACTGGGGCGGTGCTTGCATGTGGGACTTGTCATCTGGGATCTGTTTTGTTGCCGCCTGCTCTGTTTTATTTGGCTGTTCCCTTCCTCTTTTCTTTGCCTCTTTGCCTTTTGGCTGTGTGCAAGTGGGTCCATATGACACACGGGGGTGTGGGCAGCCGCCGCTCAACCTACATCGACGTGGGTGGCCTTGTACGCAAGAGGTTCTGAACGTGGGCGGCCTTGTACGCAAGATGTTCTGAACAGGGGGAGTTCTAAGGAAGAAGATAAAAAACTGAATTCATTTTCTCCTGTTTTTCTTTCTTTTTTCCTTTTTGTTCGCATTTGCGCTCTGATACTCTTGTGACAATATATACTCCGACGATGCTAGCTCTCTGCTTTTGTAGACGATGCGGCGAGCGTTGGGCCTATTTCTTGATTTTTTTGTCCGTGCACGCAAGAATTCATTTATGTCGAAAATAGCCTGAGTCATTGTCCTATCATCCCGCATTTTCTTGTGTTGTTCATCCTTCCCCGTTGCTGGGGTGTTTCGTTTTGCGGGCCTACTGTATGGTTCCGTTTTTTTTACTATGGATCTGGTAGATTTGTTGTGGTGTGGTAACCTTGTCTGCATCTCGGTTTGTTTTGTCCCGTTGTTCGGTCTATTTTACAAGCGTAGCGGTGCTTCATGTGGGACCAGTCATCCGTTTTTTTTTATTGTCTTGGCATCCTGGTTGGTTGTTTCCCGTTGTTCGGCCTGCATGGGGGCGGTGCTTTTATGTGGGAATCGTCATCCGGGATTGCCTTTTATACCGGTCCTCCGGGTTGTTTTTGGTATCCTAGTTGGTTGCTTCCCGTTGTTCGGCCTATCAATGGGGGCGGTGCTTTTATGTGGGAATCATCCTTCTATGATGTCCGGTACGAATTGCTTACGATGACGCTGAATAGGAATACCAACTTCTTGATGTCGAACAAGGCCATCTGCTGTGTATAGATATGTATCTGGGACTTTCTTTGATTTCTTCGCAGACAAGAATGTTTTGACATCCTGGTTGGTCTTGTCCCATCGTTTGGCCTATGTAGGACTGGGGTGGTGCTTGCATGTGGGACATGTTGCCCCTTGTTCTGTTTTATTTGGCTGTTCCCTTCCTCTTTTCTTTGCCTCTTTGCCTTTTGGCTGTGTGCAAGTGGGTCGATATGACACACGGGGGTGGGGGCAGCTGCCGCTCAACCTACATCCACGTGTGCGGCCTTGTACGCAAGAGGTTCTGAACGTGGGCGGCCTTGTACGCAAGAGGTTCTGAACAGGGGGAGTTCTAAGGAAGAAGATAAAAAACTGAATTCATTTTTTCCTGTTTTTCTTTCTTTTTTCCTTTTTGTTTGCATTTGCGCTCTGATACTCTTGTGACAATATATACTCCGACGTTGCTAGCTCTCTGCTTTTGTAGACGATGCGGTGAGCGTCGGGCCTATTACTCTTTTTTGGTTATGGTAGAAAATATTTCTCGATTTTGTTACATGCTGTGCCTGCACACAAGGGCCATTTTAAAGGTTTGGGAAGTGGTAAGGGCAGCCTCCTGGACGGGCCAGCACTATATAAGACTGGCCCGCCCTACAGGCAGGCAGGTAGTTTTCCCAGGCACTTCACGTGCAGGCAGTTCGACAGTTGTAGTCTTCAGGATTCGGGTGCAGCACTCTGGAGGGAGC